TGTCGAAAATAATCCCACTGAGGGGTTTTTTTTCTGGGGAACTGAAACATTTGAATCTTTACCTTGGTGAAACTCACTCAGATCATGTTTGTCATTCCACATTCAACTGAACTTCCCTGTTTTGGGACATAAGTTAAGCCAAAGAAGATGAAAGTCCATGGTTAGCAGATTATAGTATGTCCACTCAGATCATGTTTCTTCCTTCAGAAACTCTGAACAGTCTTCAACAGTGGAGAAGAAACAAAGTCTTCCCACCAGTTTCCTGCTCTGAAAGAAACATCTGAACTCGTCATCGTGGGCAGCGAGACCAAACTCTTTAAAAACACATTTCTCAAGTCAAAAACTAAAGAAACGATCCCAGAAAGTATAGTCTTGCTTTGTTTCGGCTGTTTCTCACGGTCTTATGTCTGGGGACGAGCACCTTTACTCCTGGTGACCTCCTGGGGTTCAGATACTCCTCCTACAAGCACAGCATCATCCCTGGCAGACAGGACTCTTTTTTGATGATGGCTAAACTAACTGCCTCCACTGTGGTTTCTCTTCCTTTCTGTTTAGGTATTACTGCTGATGCAAGTTTCAGTCTGTCAGTAGCCTCTTTTTGTTATGTACTTGGGCCTTCAGAGCAAATATAATCAAGATGGGAAATACATAAAAAGGAAGAGAGCAGCCTGATAAAATGCCCCTCAGCATGTTGAAGCCTGCAAACAGATTCAGTGGGCGAGAATCAAATCGAACAGTCTTGTGACATTGTGTGAAGGAAAAGCCCCTGCAGTTCAAGTTAAACTGTTAAAACACTTAATACCAAAATACAATCTACTTCTTCTTATGTGAAAAGAGCCTCGTGACCACTGCTGAACAGTGGCTGGAACTGAGAAACATTTCAAATATGTAATATCTTCATTAAAGATTCAAATGGAAGAGAGCTTTCATCACTTTCAAATGTCAATAAATAACTAACACAACAAATTAGAAGGACATAACAAACAGATGTTATTGATACAGAGGTTTATAGAGAGAGTTTAGTTGGTTTTATAGACATTTTGTATCTGTATGTGTTTGTGTGTTTGTATGAACATGTGCAGGGATGAGTGAGGAGGAAGAGGAGGAGAAGAGTCAAAGATGATAAAGAAATAAAACATTTTTAAAAAGAAGAAAAGAAAAACAAATACGTACATACATGCACATATGGATATAATGTAATGATACTAATAATATTACTGGAAACCTGGGATTTGCAGGAGTTCACTGCAGATCACTTCCTCCTTTTCTTTCTTTGTATTTGGTTTTCATAGATTGCAGGACTGTCACTCCTGTGTGTGTGTGTGTGTGTGTGTGTGTGTGTGTGTGTGTGTGTGTGTGTGTGTGTGTGTGTGTGTGTGTGTGAGTGCCTAACCACAACCACCAACTATATGCTGACACACACACACGCACACAATCCTGTGAAAGCCTTTTGTGCTTATACATACAATGCAAAAAACACCAAAAACAGTTTGAGTGAACAAACATGATGCAAGATTTAAATCTCAAACTATTACTTACAAACATTCCTCATACAACTGAACCTTTCTGTTGTCTGTGTGGGAGTGTGTGTCTTGTACATTTTAATCATTAATAGTAGTCCAGTTGTGGACTTCTGCCTTCTTAAAAGAAAGCCTTAGATAATTTTACTGCACTAACATGAATTTGTATTTCTAGAAGCAGACAGTTATTTATAACATAAAACAAATTTAAAGCTAGACTTTACTGAAGACTATGTCCACTCAGATCATGTTTCCTCCATCAGAGTTTCATTCAGAAACACTAAACAATCCTCAACAGTGGAGTAGAAACAAAGTCTTCCCACCAGTTTCCTGCTCTGAAGGAAACATCTGAACTCTTCATCATGTTATTGGAAGTGTCTACTTGATGATGCTGTGATAGTGGGAGGAGTGTCTCAACCACAGGAGGTCACCAGGAGTAAAAGTGCTCGTCTCCAGATATAAGATCCTGAGAAACATCCAGAATAAATCAAGACTATACTTTCAGGGATCATTTCTTTAGTTCTTGACTTGAGAAATGTGTTTCTAAAGAGTTTGGTCTCGCTGCCCACGATGAAGAGTTCAGATGTTTCCTTCAGAGCAGGAAACTGGTGAGAAGACTTTGTTTTTTCTCCACTGTTGAAGAGTGTTCAGAGTTTCTGAATGAGACTCTGATGGAGGAAACATGGTCTGAGTGGACTGTTCTCATATTACGTTAAATTAAATCTTTTAATTCAGTTCATTTTGCCAAATATATATTTGTAAAGATAATTTCTTTAATGCAGAATTACATTAAAGAAACAATAGAAAAGTTGGGACTCTCCAACTAGTGTCATTATTTCTCTCTGAAGTTTGTTACAAACATGCCTGACAATTTGGGTATTTTTTTCACTGCCATATGTGTTCATTTTATTTTACAATGCACCACATCAGACCTTTTAGGGGGAACAAATATTTTTAAAGAGAATTTTCTGTTATATTGGAAAAGGCATCGGTGACTCAAGAATAAGAAATTTAGCTCACAGCCACACTCATCTGTCACATAATGAGTAGAAGTTTGACTAAGAGTGTTTGAGTCAATCTGGGAATATTTGTATTTTAAGTAGTGCTGTCAAACGATTAAAATCGTGATTAATCGCATTAATGTCATAGTTAACTTGCAATTAATCGCAATTAATTGCACATTTTTATCTATTCTCAATGTTACTTGATTTCTTATTGTCCCATTATTTTTTCTCATTTTAATGCTCTTATCAATATGGAAAAGTGGATCGGCTTGCTTTTTGCAAATGTTGTTTTTTTTTAAAACAACATTGGCATATACTATAGTGTTAAATTTCACACTAACATTCTCACTTGGAGCAAATAATCTCTCCCACAATGTAACACTGTCCATCAATAAAAGGGTGAAAAAAATACTTTGTCCCACAAACAGCCCCTTCAACAGCCCTTTCTAAGGGTTCAAAACAGGGCGATATAAAATAAAATTACAAAGTGCACATGTAAGTTAAACTAGGACTCAGCCTATAGTGCAGTTAAACCATGGCTTAGTACTTTTCTCAAGTTTGCTTTGAACATAGCGGTCAGGCTACTGCTCTTTATTCACCAGAGGCTCAACCCAGCCTCTTATTTCAGAAAGAATGAACATAACAGTTACCAATGAAAGGTAAACCTACTACTTCTTTGCTTTGAGCCAGTTACTCAAACAGACAAGCCTGTTGACATTTTCAGACAACAAGGAATCCATCCATTTCGGCGTCTCGCGCTCGCCATCCACTCAAAACGTAACGTCTACTACTCCTAAACAAGTGTGTGCGGGGTGCCTGTTGTTTTGTTTCCGGTCTAGCTAGATCCGGTGTGGTGTTGTAGTTTTTCTAACGTTACTAGTTGTTGCAACAGCATGTGAAAAAAACTACAAAGTGTGCTAGGCGTTAATCTCGCGATAAAATAATTGACACCATTAAAATGGGTTTGCGTTAACGCCGTTAATAACGTGCTAAACTGACAGCACTAATTTTAAGGCTTTTCGGCTAAATTCTGTTTTCATGAATGATGGAAAATACCTGCAAGTTCCAGGAAGTTCGACCTTTCCAAAAAATGTTGAGATACTTTAAGATAAACACTTTAAATTAAAACATTGGAAACAGAATGTAGACAGTCAGACACAACATATCAGTGTGGCCATGTTGTTAATCTGTCAGTGACGATGCTGTGATTGTAGGAGAACCACGGGAGGTCACCAGGAGTAAAGGTGCTCGTCTCCAGACATAAGATCCTGAGAAACGTTCCGAATTAACCAAGACTATACTTTCAGGGATCATTTCTTTAGTTCTTGACTTGAGAAATGTGTTTCTAAAGAGTTTGGTCTCGCTGCCCACGATGAAGAGTTCAGATGTTTCCTTCAGAGCAGGAAACTGGTGGGAAGACTTTGTTTCTTCTCCACTGCTGAAGATTGTTCAGAGTTTCTGAAGGAGACTCTGATGGAGGAAACATGATCTGAGTGGGCATGCTGTGCTAAATCCAAATTTTACCCTAAAAATCTCTAAATGCTCTCAACATTTCTTTTAAGGACATCCCTACCTGCCCAAATGCATTAACATGTTCTCTTTTTTTTAAGTTGTGTTTCATGTTCTCAGTATGATGTTGAAGAAAGCTACTGTCCCACAATACATTGCACAGCATTCACAAAGTAGCTCATAGCTTTAAAATGTGCATAAAATATTATGCTGGTGGATTTAAGTCTGCAGCGACAACTCACACAACAAAGTAAAGACAATACATAATTCATACTCTCTTTTGAGGTTTTCATATTTGAAAATACTGTTGGCTAACTGTTTATTAGTTAGCGATTTAAATAGTTTTCTTAATGTGTCATAATCTGAGTACCAAAACAGTGCACGGCCAACATCAGTACATTACATAAAGTAATACAATGCCTCTTTCTTGTAAAGCCTCAGACTGAGACTGAGAGTGTTATGTAATGTAATCATAATAATAATATTACTGGAAACCTGGGATTTGAAGATGTTCACCGCAGATCAATTCCTTTATTTTTTTTGCTTTCCTTGTATTTGGTTTTCGAAGAATTGCAGGTCTTTTAATACATAGACTGTCACTTGACTGTCACATGGTGTGTGTGGGTGCCTAACCACAACCACCAACCGTATATTCACACATACACAAACATTGTTTCTCACAATCTGTCGTGGGAAAGCCTTTTGCGCTGCAGTGCACAAAATACAGTCATATATTCAAAACAAGACACGGCAAAAACAGTCTTTTTTTAATCAATAATGGTGGTTCAGTTCAGAACCTTTTTAAAATCAGTTTTGACAACATCTTGCTGCAGCAGATTGATCTAGATTCTGTTGATACATGAAATCAGCCAAAGACATACAGGTTGTCAGTTTGTTTCTGTTACAAGTGTAAGAATCTTTATGAGCAATGTCAGTTTAAAGTTTATTTTGAAATGAGAATGAGGTATCCACTGAGATTATGTTTCCTCGATCAGAGTTCCATTCAGAAACACCAAACAATCATCAACAGTGGAGAAGAAACAAAGTCTTGCCACTAGTTTCCTGCTCTGAAGTAAACTTCTGATCGCTTCATCGTGGGCAGTAAGACCAAACTCTTTAGAAACACATTTCTCAAGTCAAGAACTAAAGAAATGATCCCTGAAAGTATAGTCTTGGTTTGTTCTGGATGTTTCTCAGGGTCTTATGTCTGGAGACGGGCACTTTTACTCTTGGTGACCTCCTGTGGTTCAGAGAGACACTCCTCCTGCAATCACAGCATCATCACTGACATACAGGCCTCTTTTTGTAGCAGAGCAAATCAAACAGGAGCTCTGATACTTTCTTACTGGTCAGGTTTAAAAATGTGCCAAACAATAGGTGGATGAGCACACTTACTGTTATCTTTGTCTGACACAGGTTAATTGTTTACACTTGTATAATTTTGGTGGTATTGTGAGTCCAAATCAACCTTCTTGCACCAAGTGAAGCCAGCTGAGGTTGTGTTTCTGCAGCTCCACAAAGAAACTCTGGTAATTGTTTTCACATAGTATTGCACCTTAATTTCCAAACCTACAAACAACAGTTTTTAGGTTTTGGTTTGAATGAAAACTTGAATGCTCTTGGACCTACATGGCAAAGGACTGCCTGCTTTAAAACCCCATGCAAACCCACAGGGCACCTGCACAGGTGTTTTCATTTATGTGGCCTGATGAGATGTTTTCTCAGGAGTGCTTGGGCCATAGATCTCCTTCTTCTTCACTCTACTTACAGCTGATTTTGGTTTGGTTTGTCAAACAGGTTTCTGGACACCTTCAATCTTTTTAATTAGTTTGATGAGCAACACATTTTTTTTATGTTCTTAAAAGAAAGATTGACAGCATTTGCAAAGTGTGATTTTAGCATAGCACAGTATGTCCACTCAGATCATGTTTCCTCCATCAGAGTCTCACTCAGAAACTCCAAACAATCTTCAACAGTGGAGAAGAAACAAAGTCCTCCCACCAGTTTCCTGCTCTGAAGAAAACATCTGAACTCTTCATCGTGGGCAGCGAGACCAAACTCTTTAGAAACACATTTCTCAAGTCAAGAACTAAAGAAATGATCCCTGAAAGTATAGTCTTGGTTTGCTCTGGATGTTTCTCAGGGTCTTATATCTGGAGACGAGCACCTTTACTCCTGGTGACCTCCTGTGGTTCAGTCACTCCTCCTACTATCACAGCATCATCAAGTAGACACTTCCAATAATATCATAACAGTCAGTATTATTGTCAGCACACACTTGTACATCAGAGTGCACAAACCTTTAATTCAACATGAAAGAATTGTCCAAATTTATGTTACTTTCATGAATACAAATGCCCTGAATGCAGCGCTTCCATTAGAATTGACTTAATTTTAGTCCAAAAACTCAATGAAGGCTGGTGTGTTCTGTCAGTGATGATGCTGTGACTAAGGAGGAGTGTTTTTCTGAACCACAGGAGGTCACCAGGAGTAAAAGTGCTCGTCTCCAGACATAAGACCATGAGAAACATCCAGAGACAACCAAGATTATACTTTCAGGGATCTTTTCTTTAGTTGTTAACTTGAGAAATGTGTTTCTAAATAGTTTGGTCTCGCTGTCCACGATGAAGAGCTCAGATGTTTCCTTCAGAGCAGGAAGCTGGTGGGAAGTCTTTGTTTCTACTCCACTGTTGAAGACTGTTCAGAGTTTCTGAATGAGATTCTGATGGAGGAAACATGATCTGAGTGGACATAGTCTTCAGTAAAGTCTAGTTTTAACTTTGTTTTATGTTATAAATAACTGTCTCCTTGAAGGAGTACAAATGCATGTTGTTGCAGTAAAATTGTCTAGTGATTTCTTTTAAGAAGGCAGAAGTCCACAACTGGACTACTATTAATGATTAAAATGTACAAGACACACACTCCCACACAGACAACAGAAAGGTTCAGTTGTATGAGGAATGTTTGTAAGTAATAGTTTGAGATTTAAATCTTGCATCATGTTTGTTCACTCAAACTGTTTTTGGTGTTTTTTGCATTGTATGTATAAGCACAAAAGGCTTTCACAGGATTGTGTGCGTGTGTGTGTGTCAGCATATAGTTGGTGGTTGTGGTTAGGCACTCACACACACACACACACACACACACACACACACACACACACACACACACACACACACACACACACACACACACAGGAGTGACAGTCCTGCAATCTATGAAAACCAAATACAAAGAAAGGAAAGGAGGAAGTGATCTGCAGTGAACTCCTGCAAATCCCAGGTTTCCAGTTATATTATTAGTATCATTACATTATATCCATATGTGCATGTATGTACGTATTTGTTTTTCTTTTCTTCATTTTAAAAATGTTTTATTTCTTTATCATTATTGACTCTTCTCCTCCTCTTCCTCCTCACTCATCCCTGCACATGTTCATACAAACACACAAACACATACAGATACAAAATGTCTATAAAACCAACTAAACTCTCTCTATAAACCTCTGTATCAATAACATCTGTTTGTTATGTCCTTCTAATTTGTTGTGTTAGTTATTTATTGACATTTGAAAGTGATGAAAGCTCTCTTCCATTTGAATCTTTAATGAAGATATTACATATTTGAAATGTTTCTCAGTTCCAGCCACTGTTCAGCAGTGGTCACGAGGCTCTTTTCACATAAGAAGAAGTAGATTGTATTTTGGTATTAAGTGTTTTAACAGTTTAACTTGAACTGCAGGGGCTTTTCCTTCACACAATGTCACAAGACTGTTCGATTTGATTCTTGCCCACTGAATCTGTTTGCAGGCTTCAACATGCTGAGGGGCATTTTATCAGGCTGCTCTCTTCCCTTTTATGTATTCCCCAGCAGGTTTAGATTTGCAATGAAGGCCAAAGTGCATATTAAAGTCGCTATTGAAAAATATAACTGTACCGCAACATCAGATATCTTAACACGCACATACTTGCATCAGCAGTCAAACCAAAACTGAAACCAAGAGGAAGCACAATGGGGACAGTCACACACTTTATACCTCTTATATCCTTAATATTTTCATATTCAGAGCAATTTATCCCTTTGGGTAATGTACAATTTAAGTGAAAAGAAGATAACAAAACAATTTGAACATCAATATTAAGTCCACTGATATAAGTTAATTGGTCAAGTAAGTCTCCAGTCAGAGTATGTTCGAAATTACGAGTACAAAGATATTTAAAGTCTATTTAAGGTTTTGATTTTAGAAAAAAACAAAGGGTCCACTCAGATCATGTTTCCCCCATCAGAATCTCATTCAGAAACTCTGAACAATCGTCAACAGTGGAGAAGAAACAAAGTCTTCCCACCAGTTTCCTGCTCTGAAGGAAACATCTGAACTCTTCATCGTGGGCAGCGAGACTGAACTCTTTCGAAACACATTTCTCAAGTCAAGAACTAAAGAAATGATCCCTGAAAGTATAGTCTTGATTTGTTCTGGATGTTTCTCAGGGTCTTATGCCTGAAGACGAGCACTTTTACCCCTGGTGACCTCCTGTGGTTGAGATACTCCTCCTACAATCAATCAGAATGAGACTGATGGAGGAAACATGATCTGAGTGGGCTTAATGCAAAAATTAAAGAATAAAATCTTTTACAATATTCACAAAGGTTAGCTTGCTCAGAGCGACCATTTTTAACGGCAAGAACCTTTAAACTCAGATCTTTCCTTTTCTTAAAGGTCCAGTGTGTAACATTTAGGAGCATCTATTGTCAGAAATGAAATATAATATTCATAGGTCTGTTTTAATTAGTGTATAATCACCTGAAAATAGGAATCGTTACCTTTAAAATGAGCAAATTTATCTACAGAGGCAGCGGGGCCTCTTTCTCCAGTCACTAGACGGTCCATCCTCTTTCTGGAAGGACCTCATCACAAAAGCCCAACAGACGACGTACTTCCTGCTGCAGCTGAAGAAGTTCAACCTGCTAAAGACAATGACGTTGACGGCCATCACCTCCTCCATCCTCACCTCCTCCATTACTATCTCTGCTGCCACCAGACTGCAGAGTATCATTCACTCCGCCGAGAAGGGGATCAGCCGTCCCTCAAGCACCCTGAGGCGAGCAGACAAGGTTGTGGGCAACCCCTCCCACCCCGGTTACAAACATCTCAAGACGCTTTTTGAGACCAAAACTTAACAAGAACAGTTTTTATCCGGCTGCAGCTGGCCTCATTAACAAAGACCCCCACTGACACTGACAGGATACTGTGGTGAATACTTTACACGTTCCTGCACAAAACTGTACAGCTCCGGCATTTAAATAACATAATGTACATATTTTAATAATACTTTATTGTCCGTTTTCTATTTATGCTTCTTGACCTGCTAGCACTTGTTTCTTTTTTCTTTTTTCTCAATTACAGCTATTTGTGGCATCCTGCTAGCTCACCCGATAGAGCTGGAGCTCCATGTACTAAGGCTGAGTCCTTGCTGCAGCAGCCATGGGTTCAAGTCCAACATGTGGCCCTTCCCTGTGTGTCATCCCCGGTCTCTCTCCTTTTCCTGTCTGTCTTAAGCTGCCTCATCCCAAAAATGCCCCAAAAAATTAAAAAAAAGTTGCTTGTATCTGGACTGAAAAGCTTCTTGCTCAACAGAGTTTCTCAACAAGCGGTTGCTTCACATACAGATGGAGTCGTGAGACATTCATGATACTAATTTGTTTCATATGTTTTATTAAAAAAAGATTAAATAAATTTCCACATATTTATATATAAACCCCTTTGGGCTCCATTTGCTCATTTGAAAATCGAACACAGAAACATTTCATACTTAAATTCATATCACTGTCAGGATTTATGAGAACTCTGGAAACCTGAAACAGACATCACAGGTCAAATAAAGTTGAAAACCCTGAAAAACCATCCTGAGAAACTGGGTAACAAACATGGATACATAAACATTAACAAAAACAGGAGAACAGAATGATTAAAGGAATACAATAAAATGTGCAATGAAAATCTCATTAAGCTAGGTTTTATATCTATGATCATACAGCTTCATCTATAATCAGAGATTTAGCAGAAAGACAATTCAACAACATATATTTCACAAAAAAACCCATCTCATTTTTAAGTCTGAAGGCAGTGTGGAGGGCTCACGCATGGTAAATTTCCCATCCACTAGGTTCAGTTCCTTGATCAACAGCACATGACACATTCAGGGTATTCAGGCACGCAAGAGGGTTTCAGTTTCTCAGTTCTTATTAGTTGATCTGACACTACAAACTCAAACTGAGGTCTAACAAAAATAGGACTGCAGAATAGTGTTGCTGAGAAAACCTCCTCACAGCAAGCACTTTGGCACTGAAACCTGCCTTTTATTTGTTCCACACAGAGAGTTTCACAATCTTTTTGACCACCCTCAGCTTTGAGTTATATCCAGATTAGTTGGTGAATTAGTTGGTGTTTTCTTTCCCAGAAAATAATTCTGCAATTTCTCACAAAATGCTGGAAACACTCTAATATGTATCACACTAAATGCGTCACATTTAGTTAGTTGTGTGAGTGATAACAGATGTGGCATTTTTACATCCGTCCGAGTCATTAATGAACACGTTTAAAGGATTTTTGCATCTAGAATAACAGAAGTAAGTTCTCTCATCTGTTGGACCGAAGTATTCATTGTAATTGGTGTAAAAACAGTGGACATGTTATTAGATTCATTTTTAACTTAATCTAATTATACTAATTAAGGTATAGCTCCATTCAGCTATTGTGCATGTTGGCTCACTGGAAAGGCTCTGCTGCACTAAATGGAATGGAAACCTTAATTAGTATCACAGGTAACACCTGTGTTTACTCTACTAGTTCACGTTAAAATGGCTGCTGTGAAAAAGGTCTATATGAGATGATTAAGTTGCTGTTTCAAAAAATGTCAATAAATAATAAATAAATCCATAATAAATTGGCCAGCAATAATGATATATGATATGCTGAATAGAATATTTATGTTACATTACGATTGTCTTTTATATTTTATTTTTGTTAATTTTTGTATTTAAACTTCAGATTCTTTCAGATTAAGGCATTATGATCTCAGACCAAATTAGTGTTTTTGACCAAGTGTGAACCTATCGTGACGTCACCCATTGGTTTGTGGAGTACCGTGATGAAGCCTCGAGTTTGGTGTTAACGGTCATCACCAGCAGAGGTGGCGTACTACGAGTTGAGCTGCTCTCATTGGCTGCCTGGTCACACACAATCTCGTATTACAGCTAAACAGTACACTAAAATATGTTTCACAGTAACAGAATCTTGATTTATATTTGATCAGCACTGCCTAGTTTGACAGTTCGATCTGAGTTTTGTGCGTTACATACCCTGCTTTATCGTCTATTTTACTCTAAACTGGACTATAATTTACAAAATGAACATCATGAAGACTTAAAACTAGAGATTGAAACCATAAACTCATTAGGAAACTGTTTACTTATCGGCTATAAATAACATTTTAAAGACAACAAGTTCTTTAGGTGTGTCAAACAACCTGAGTACAACTGTAACTTGAACTTATACTTTTCTTCCATGCAGCGACTCGTCCACCATGTTGCACTAGTTGTCGGGCAGCAGGCAGCTGAAGCAGGAGAAAGGCAGATTGGAAAGGCAGTCTGTGTTGACGGTGACCTGCATGTCGCCAAATAAAACTTGGCTCTTGTCGCCACCGCCCGCGTTCTTCTTCAGCTCCGCGAGTCTCCGCATAATCAGCTGGTGTTCACGGCCTCTTAGCGGGCCTCTGAAGTACAGAACAGCATCCAGGTGTTTCCTGCTGCAGGTGGAGAAGAAAGAAGAAAACAAAAATATATTAACTCATTTTATTTTTATTCATCACTGCAATAAATGTCCAGTTTACCAGAAAAAATACCAACAGCATTTTCTGTAGGTTATTGAGGTGTTTAATTTGTCAGTGATTGTAGGAGGAGTTTTCTGTCTGAACCACAGGAGGTCACCAGGAGTAAAAGTGCTCGTCTCCAGACATAAGACCCTGAGAAACATCCAGAATGAACCAAGACTATACTTTCAGGGATCATTTCTTTAGTTCTTGACTTGAGAAATGTGTTTCTAAAGAGTTTGGTCTCGCTGCCCATGATGAAGAGTTCAGATGTTTCCTTCAGAGCAGGAAACTGGTGGGAAGACTTTGTTTCTTCTCCACTGTTGAAGATTGTTCAGAGTTTCTTAATGAGACTCTGATGGAGGAAACATGATCTGAGTGGACAGATTGTACTGTATTAAAAACCCTTAAATGTTCTCAGCATTTCTTTTAAGAACATCCCTACCTGCCCGCATGCATAGGCCTTTAAAGCAGGCAGTCCTTTGCCATGTAGGTTCAAGAGCATTCAAGTTTTCCTTCAAACCAAAACCTTAAAACTGGTGTTTGTAGATTTGGAAATTAAGGTCCAATTTAATGTGAAAACATGTACCAGAGTTTCTTTGTGGTGCTGCAGAAACACAACCTCAGCTGAACGGCTTCACTTGTTGCAAGAAGGTTGATTTGGAGTCACAAAACCACCAAAATTATACAAGTGTAAAAAATGTACCTGTGTCAGACAAAGATAAGAGTAAATGTGTTTCTTCCACCTATTGTTTGGCACATATTCAACATTTTCATAAAAAAAAACCTGAGTGGAAAAGCTGGAAAGTGCAAATACTGGAAAAATATTTTACACTGCTATAATACACTTGACTGAGGACACATTTGGATGGAAACCTGGAGAGTAGGAAGTGTCAGAGCTCCTGTTGGATTTGCTCCACAACAAAAAAAGAGGCTTGTCTGTCAGTGATGATGCTGTGATTGTAGGAGGAGTTTTCTGTCTGAACCACAGGAGGTCACCAGGACTAAAAGTGCTCGTCTCCAGACACAAGACCCTGAGAAACATCCAGAACAAATCAAGACTATACTTTCAGGGATCACTTCTTTAGTTCTTGACTTGAGAAATGTGTTTCTAAAGAGTTCGGTCTCGCTGCCCACGATGAAGAGTTCAGATGTTTCCTTCAGAGCAGGAAAGTGGTGGGAAGACTTTGTTTCTTCTCCACTGTTGAAGATTGTTCAGTGTTTTTGAGTGAGACTCTGATGGAGGAAACATGATCTGAGTGGATATTTCTAGAAGAAAATGAAAGCTTTGACTAACAAAAACATCAACCATGTGTAAACATTGCTCTAACTACTCCATGGTTCAACAACAACTTATGATTAAAGTAAAGCTAATGAGCTGAAAACTTCTTTCTTCTTCACTTTGTTTCTGGGATGCAAATCAAATTAACCATAATAGTTGCAAACACCTGTGTGGGTGTGCAGGAACTGCAAACAGCCACTCACACAGGTGTTTTCACTTAAGGTTGCCTGAATAGACCTCCTCTCGGGGACTCTGCACATGTTGATCAAACCAGGGGTTCACAAACTTTTCCATGTCAAGGACCCCCATGATAAAATGCACATTAGACCACGGACCTCCAATTTGAGAGGGTTTAGTTTTAAGGAATCCCCTTAGTCATTAATAATGAAGTCTTCAAAGTCAATCAATCAGGGATGCATCGATACCAGTATCAGGTATTGGGTCAATACTGTCCTCATGTACTTACCGATACCGTGTGACTTTACGTGACCTCTTGTTAGTCGAGCAGGTAGGCAGAGGAGAAGCAATGTCAGCAATTTGGAGATATTTTAAGCAACTTTTACAGCATTAAAAGTAATTTTTTAGAACTGTTGTGTTATCATTAAGTAATTGTATTGGTACCTAGTATTGGCAAGCAAAAAAGTGGTATTGATGCCTCCCTACAATCAATGATCAAAGTAGGATAACTAGGTTTAATCACCTTTAAAACCACTCATTAGGAGGTCTAAAGACAAGGTCTTACTAATGAACCAGGATAAACAGTCCACTCAAATCATGTCTCCTCCATCAGAGTCTCATTCAGAAACACTGAACCATCTCCAACAGTGGAGAAGAAACAAAGTCTTCCCCCCCAGTTGCTGCTCTGAAGGAAACATCTGAACTCTTCATCATGGGCAGCAAGACCACTCTTAAGAATCACATTTCTCAAGTTAAGAACTAAAGAAATAATCCCTGAAAGTATAGTCTTGGTTTGTTCTGGCTGTTTCTCAGGGTCTTATGTCTGGAGACAAGCACTTTTACTTCTGGTGACCTCCTGTGGTTCAGTAAGAAAACTCCTCCTCCTAATGAAGGTGAAATTTAAAAGCACAGCTGAGACTGCAGAGTCTCTCTTCGATTGTCATGGACACTTTGAGTTATAGAAGTTAACTGGTGGGGATAAATGTCCCCACATGCTATTGTGTGCTGTTCACAAACTGATTAATGAGTCATTCAAAAATAATCTTTAGTCATAGTTTGTGCACAGTTGGGAAAGAGTTTGATCTTGCTGCCCGCAATGAATGAGTTCAGATGTTCCTCAGAGCAGGAAACTGTCGGAAAGACTTAAGCTATATTTTATTTGCACTTCCCATCATTCTGTTACCATCAGCCTTTGGTATTATGCAACACCAGACATGGAGGCCTCTTGGAGAAGGCGGAAAGTTGGCAGGGGAGGAGTGGGTGATTTAAAGGGAATGCAACTGCTTTTGTAATCATAATGGATCATTGCCCGGTTGTGTGCAGTGTTCATTGTGCCTTGCAAGCAGGGTGCGAACTACAGGGGAGCCTCTTAATAAGACCTAAGCTCCCCTGAAAACATGAATTTTAGGGGATTATTTTTGATTATTTGTGATTGTAAACATGTATGTTACTATTAAAATGCCAGATTTTTAAATGGAGTTTGATCTGTATAGGTGCCTAGATTTAAAATAATAACACTGATTTAGCTGACTACTCAGAGAACCTCTCAAATTTGGGAAGCAGATGGGATTTCTCTATTATGTAGTCAGCAAACTGTGAGTCAATCAGCCAAGCATCCCGCCTTGTAAGAAAAAATGAGCTCCACCAAAAGCTGTGGTATAGTACTTCACAATAAGCACGTAACCAATGCCTTTAAATGAGGAGCTGTGTCTCTTCCTCTCACCCTTAAATACCATAATAACATACCAGTCAACTATTAGGGCTGTGCAATATGACAATATATAGTGTTTGGTGATGGACAATCATTGTTTGATATTATACTGTATTGGTTATTTAGCCAAAAATTTACACTCTTTAGGGCAAAACTTTTTTATCATATTGACAGCGCTTTGCATTTTTCTACAGCATGAAATATGCATGAAGGCAACACAAACAAATGCGGAGGAGAGTGAATGTGAACGGCGTAACTCCAAACAGGAGAGGTACTCCGACCAGCCGAGACAAAGCGAGGAGCAAACAGCATAATACACTCTAGTGAAGTAATTTCATAAAGTAAACTCTATAGCATGACAAAGGATCAGCTCACAAAGTTCAGTGAGTTATCAGATGAATGGAATGACACTTATGTTGGTGGGAATCCCCCAAGGGAAAGTGCAGAGAGGAACTCAACAAGAGTGTGCAAACTACTAATGAAACACAGCTTTTGTTTCTTCTCCCCTGTTGAAGATTGTTTACTGCATGTGGCTCTAATGGAAGAAACATGATCTGAGTGTAAATCTTGTTTTCTAGAAATCTGTAGAATCATCGAGAGACATCAAACTACTTTTTAAGTTTATTATTGTGCAAAGAATTATTTGATGAACATTCAAGTGTTTTACTGTATAAACTGGCAAGTAGGGAATCACTGAAGGTTGTGTACCTGTTTTGTTAGATCCGATCTGTTGAAAAATCTAAATAAATCAAAGTACACATGCTTACCTTTGACCTGTGTGTAACTACATGCAACACGTTTCTCAAAGTTTAAACTGCAAATGTGCAAATTTGCAAATGTGCAAATAGTATTCCTGCTACTGAACGTTGACCTCGGCTGTCAACTGAAACAAAAGAACCTCATCTCTCATATTTTAATCTACAGGAAGGTTTTATACGTGTTCCTTCCTCCTCTAAAGAAATGCTGACAACAACTACAAAACTTGATCTTAGCACACTACAGTACGTCCACTCAGACAAGGTTTCCTCCTTCAGAGTATCATTCAGAAACTCGGAACAATCTTCAACAGTGGAGAAGAAACAAAGTCTTCCCACCAGTTTCATGCTCTGAAGGAAACATCTGAACTCTTCATCGTGGGCAGCGAGACCAAACTCTTTAGAAACACATTTCTCAAGTTAACAACTAAAGAAAAGATCCCTGAAAGTATAGTCTTGGTTTGCTCTGGATGTTTCTCAGGGTCTTATGTCTGGAGACAAGCACTTTTACTCCTGGTGACCTCCTGTGGATTAGAATGAAAACTCCTCCTACAATCACAGCATTGTCACTGACAGATTAACAACATGGCCACACTGATATGTTGTGTCTGACTGTCTACCTTCTGTTTCAGATTTTTAATTAATAGTGTTTATCTTAAAAGTATCTCTAAAATGTATAGAAAGGTTGAACTTTCTGGAACTTGCAGATATTTTCCATCATTCATGAAAACAGAATTTAGCCTAAAAAATTTAAAATAAAAATATTCCGAGATGTACTTAAAAACTCTTAGTCAAACTTCTACTCATTCTGTGACAGATGAGTGTGGCTGTGAGCTAAATTTCTTGTTCATGAGTCACCGCTGCCTTTTCCACTATAATAGAAAATTCTCTTTAAACATATTTGTTTCCACTAGAAAGACTGGAGTGGTGCATGTTAAAATAAATTGAACACGAAGTAAGATCAAATAGGTGCAAATTAAGCCAATCAGATAGAACAAGGCACTGAATAAGA